TCTGCCTTCTCCCGCTCTGTTCTTTCTCTTTCTTTTGCAATGCGTTCCCTCTCAAGCCTTTCCTTTTCAGCCCTCTCCCTTTCCACTCTTTCTTTCTCCTGTTTCTCCCTCTCTGCCTTTTCCCTCTCCACCCTCTCTTTCTCCATTCTTTCCTTTTCTTCTCTAGCTGCCTTTTCTTTAGCAAGCCTCTCCATCTCCTTTCTCTCTTTTTCTGCCTTCTCTTGAACTAACCTTTCTCTCTCAGCTTTCTCCTTGGCTTCCTTTTCCAGCTTGTCCTTCTCAATCCTCTCCTTCTCCAATCTCTCCTTTTCCAACCTCTCTGCCTCCTTTCTCCTCTCTTCACTTTCCCTCTCCTGTCTGAGTTGCTCCTCAGCCACCTCCAGCTCCTTCTTCTTCAGCGCCCAGGCTGCCTCCCTTGCTTCCTCCTCTTGGGTGAGAAAAGCCCTAATCTCAGCCACTGCGATGCGAGCGATCCTCTTGGCCTCCATCTTCTCATGGATCATCCTCAACTCGTTCTTCAGAGTCGAACGCAGCATGGCGCCTCGGAAGACGTGGTCTGAGGCTTGAGGTGAAAAGTCTTAAGATTACTGTCCACATGCTCACCACTACATGACTCATTAGTGTGCTGGCACACAGCAACCAAGGAAATGTTAGAGATGCAGGGGAAGAGATGCAAGTCCGATGTTAGGGTCAATTTAAAAGCCACAAAAATGGGGTCCTCGACTGTTTAAGACTTAGGATTATGTTGCTTTTACAAAACATCCACAGAGTTCAATTTATTAGAATCAAGGATTAAATTATCCCTGTGAAGAACACGTCATTGTGTACGACGTGAGACTCATGAAAATCAAACTTTATCCGATTTAAATTTGGCTGATTTCGCCTTCATGGTGGTTGCTTTCCCTACCTCTGGGCAGCTTCCACTGCTGGTATTTCCTGTTCTGACCACTTGTACTTTCTCCACTGTCTCAAAACAGCAAAATCTTCAACTTCATCTTGTGGAAGAGAACAAATTAATAGGGACACAATTCTGGCGAGGTGTGGTCAGGCTACAGCTCCAGAGAGTGTAGGTGGGTAACATCCTAGTTCAGGCGTTTTCCTCTGAATGTTGTTCAGTTTAAAGAGTCGGGACTTTAGAGTAAAGACTGTCTGAATAGTCTTTCTCTGGGAGTTTAATTTCATGGCGCGCAAGTTGAAAAATGAAATAAAAAGTTGCTCGTGACGGACTAGCTTTGGGCTCGGACACAATAGACTCTTTGAGTCAGAATAGCTCTTTTAGTCTCTTGGTTGTAGCCAGAGACCCAGCAGTCATCACCATCTTTGCTCTACGACATGAAATTTGGGTCAGAGTTAGAGGACTG